GGGGGCGGGGGTGTTGGCGTGGGGGGGGGGGCCGCCGGGGGTTTTGGGGGGGGGGGGTGGGTGCTGGGAGCCCAGGGCTGGGCTTGGGGTCACAGGGTTTCAGGAGTGAGGGGCACCGGCAGGGCACAATGGGGGCTGGGGTGAGGGGCACCAGTAAGGCTACTGGGGCTGGGGGTTGGGAGTGAGGGCTGTCCTGCCCCACTCTCCCCCGCCTGCTCCTGCTTCTGCTCCCGCCCCAGCCATATTAATGGGAAAATAAGAACAGATTGTGCAGAGTGCTTCCCGCTGCCGGGGTCACCATGGCAACGTGCAGCAAATTAGTGGTGGAGACGCGGCACCCGGTGCTCCCCTCCGCCACGGCCTGGCAGCGCGTGAGCCTGGGGCTGGGGTCGGGGGGCCACGGGGCCGGGCCAGACCGGGCCAGGCAGGGCAGGGCTGTGCGCTCGCCCCAGCACGTAGGGGCAGGTGGCGAGGCCCCGGGGCCAGGGCTGGGCCTGACCCACGGCTCCGTGTGGCTGCACTCCCCAGGGGTCCCAGCCCCTCCAGTGGCCCGGCCCCGTGGCCTGGGCAGGGGGAGCCACGGCTCCTAGTCCCAGCCCCATGCGGTGCCCGCTGCTGCCAGGGCCCTGCACTGGGAGGGGACCAAAGGATCCCTTGTGCCAATACCAAATGGGCTGCAGCACATCCAGCCCTGCCCTGCCCTGCCCAGCCCAGCCCAGCCTTGGCCCAGGTGGCACGGTGGCCTTGGGCAGCACCAGGATCGGGGCCTCGGCTGGCAGGTGCCATGCAGAAGGGCTTGCTGCCACCTGGTGGCTGTGGGCCGGCACTGCGTGCCCCGCTCGTGGCCCCGCTCCTGCCCGGGTGGACGCCCCCCGCCCCGGGGAAGCAGGCCACGCACTGCCCGTGTCCTGTGCCCGCAGCCTACGTGCTGAGCTGCCGCTTCCCCTCACGCCCGGCCTACGGGGACGTCTCGGTCACCAGCCTGCACCCGGGCGGCAATGCCTACTTCTCCTGCGCCGCCGGCTACCAGCTGCAGGGCCCGCGCGCCCTCACCTGCCTCAACGCCACCCGCCCCTTCTGGAGTGGCAGGGAGCCTCTCTGTGTGGGTGAGTCTGGGCGCCGGACAGGGGCCCAAGGGCTGCCCCGTGGCATGGGTGCCCGTGGCACCAGGGCAGGGGCAGTGGGGGTGTTGGGCCCAGTCCCCCAGCGGCACGTCCCGTTGCAGCGGCCTGCGGGGGCGTGATCCGGAACGCCTCCCTGGGGCGCGTCGTCTCCCCCGGCTTCCCCGGGACCTACAGCAACAACCTGACTTGCCACTGGCTGCTGGAGGCACCTCCCGGGCAGCGCCTCCACCTGCACTTCGAGAAGGTTGCACTGGCCGAGGATGATGACCGGTGCGTGGGGGGGCCCTGGGTGCAGGGATCGGGGATGCCCTTGTGCCCCAGACTGGCTCCACGCCCCTCCCAGAGCTGGGAGAACCCAGGGGTCTGGGCTTCGCCAGAGCTGGGTTGGAGGTTGCCCCTGCCGTGGTCCCTGTGCCCTGACCCGGCGTGGCCTGCAGGCTCATCATCCGCAACGGGAACGGCGTGGAGGCGCCGCCGGTGTACGACTCGTATGAGGTGGAGTACCTGCCCATCGAGGGGCTGCTCAGCGCCGCCCGCCACTTCTTTGTGGAGCTCACGACCGACAGCAGTGGTGCGGCCGCTGGCGTGGCCCTGCGCTACGAGGGTGAGCCCAGGCCCCCCCATCCCTGCCTACTGCCTGCAAACTCATCGGGGGGTCAGCAGGGAATAGGGGACACTCTGTTTACTAGGGCACCCCTCGGGGTTACTCAAAATAATGATAATAGACTCAAAATAATAGATTTAGACTGGACATAAGGAAGAAATTCTTTATGGTAAGAGTTGCCAAACTATGGAACGGGCGTCCACGGGAGGTGGTGCTTTCCCCTGCCTTGGAGGTGTGCAAGAGGAGATTAGACAGGCATCTGGCTGGGGTACCTACCCCCAGCGCTCTTTCCTGGCTGGAGCAGGGGGTCAGGCCCGATGATCTACCAGGTCCCTTCCGACCCTGGACATCTATGAATCCCGCCCGGCCCCTCGTCAGCGCAGCTCGCTCACCCGCTCTCCCCGCAGCCTTCCAGCCTGGGCACTGCTACGAGCCCTTCGTCAAGTACGGCAACTTCACCACCAGCGACGCAGCCTACGCGCTGGGTGCCACTGTGGAGTTCAGCTGCGACCCCGGCTACACGCTGGAGCAGGGGTCCGTGGTCATCGAGTGCGTGGACCCCACCGACCCGCAGTGGAACGAGACGGAGCCGGCCTGCCGAGGTCTGCACCACGGGGAGGTGGGGAGGGGAGGAGTGCAGCCCCGGGGTGCCCCGAGCTGGTGGCACGGCCCCCCAGCACCCCCGGGGCTTAGCGCTGCCACGTCGCCCACAGCTGTGTGCAGCGGGGAGATCACGGACTCGGCCGGTGTCGTCCTGTCGCCCAACTGGCCGGAGGCCTATGGCAAGGGCCAGGACTGCATCTGGGGGCTGCACGTGGAGCAGGACAAGCGTGTCATGCTGGACATCCGTGTGTGAGTGCGGCGGGCTCTGGGGTGGGGGCACTGGCGGTCCACTGGGCAGCCCTGGGGCTGCTGGAATGGGGGGGACCCACCATGGCCCCCCAGCTGTGACCTTTGCACCTTGCCGCCTACCCCCCCAGGCTGCACGTGGGCACAGGCGATGTGCTGACCTTCTACGACGGGGACGACCTGACCGCCCGCATCCTGGGCCAGTTCACGGGTGCACGCAGCCGCTTCAAGCTCTACACCTCCACGGCCGACGTCACCATCCAGTTCCAGTCTGACCCCGGCAGCTCTGTCTCTGGCTACCAGCAAGGCTTCGTCATCCACTTCTACGGTGAGCGCTCCCGGCTGAGCCCCTGCCTCCAGCCCAGGCTCCCAGCCAGCTTGGCCTGGTGTCCCGGCCCCCAGCTCCCACCCCCCAGGCTCCCCTCCTCTCCCCTCCCTGAGCTAGGCTGGAACTAGGCGTCCTGGCCCCAGCCCCCGTTAGACCCCCTACTCGGCCCTAGCCCCGGCCCCGTGCTGGCCTATCTCACCCACGCTCCCTGCAGAGGTGCCACGCAATGACACGTGCCCCGAGCTGCCCGAGATCCCCAATGGCTGGAAGACCACGTCGCACCCCGAGCTGATCCACGGCACTGTGGTGACCTACCACTGCTACCCGGGCTATGAGATCGTGGGCACCGACCTGCTTATGTGCCACTGGGACCTCACCTGGAGTGGAGACCTGCCCACCTGCGAGAGAGGTGACCCCCAGCATCCCCCGGGGGGGCCTGCCTGTCCCTGGGGCTGCTTGCCCAGGCCCTTGGCATTGTGCCGGGGGCCACTGGGATGGTGGAGGGGAGCCTGGGTGCCAGGCCCCCCCAGTGCAGCCTGTCCCGCTCCTGTCCCGTAGCTGCCCCATGGAGTGTGGGGCAGCAGGGGGTCACAGCGTTTCCCCCCTTTCTGCAGTGACCACGTGCAGGGACCCAGGAGATGTGGAGCACAGCCGCCGCCTGGTCTCCAGCACCAGGTTCCCAGTGGGCAGCACCGTGCAGTTTGTGTGCGACAAGGGCTACGTCCTGGCGGGCACCGCGCTCCTCACCTGCCACGACCGCCAGGCGGGCGGCCCCAAGTGGAGCGACCGCCTGCCCAAGTGCACCCGTAAGGCCAGCCCCCGCCGGGGCCCTGGTGCCGCGGCTCCCCTGGCCCCTCCTTGCAGCCTGGTGGGGGCCGTGCCGTGCCTGGCGGGTCATGCCATGGGGGAGCAGCCACAGCCCGGGGTGCCCTGACAGCATGCGGCTATGGCAGATCCTCAGGGGAACCAGGCCAGGGTGTGGGCATGGTCTCACCCAGCCCTTCTGCCCACAGCGGAGCTGTATGAGCCCTGCCACAACCCGGGCATCCCTGAGCACGGCGCTCAAGCCCCAGAGAAGCGGCTGTACCAGGCCGGGGCCACGCTGCGCTTCTCCTGCACTGCGGGCCACGTGCTGCTGGGGGAGGCGAGTCTGCGCTGTGTGCCCGGGCACCCCTCGCAGTGGAGCAGCTCCCCGCCGCTCTGCAAGGCCGGTGAGTCTGCGCCGCAGCGGCTCTGTGCTCCCGTGCTTGCAGCTTATCGCTGACCCTGGGATGCCCGGAGACCCTTACCCGTCCCCGCACCCTGCTCCCATTAACACCCCTTCCTTTCCCCAGCCTCCTACGATGAGTTCTACAGCAATCGCAACCTGGATGGTAAGAGCCTGGGCGCTGGGCTGCTGGGGGAACGGGTATGGGTGCACCCTTGCCCCGAGTTTGCAGCCTGGCTTCTGGCTGCGTGGAGGGATGGGGTCGGGGTGGGCGAGCAGGGCCCAGAGCACTGAGCCAGTTTCGGGGGGGCTGAGCTGATGGCTCTCCCGGGAGCTGGGGGAAGGCCCCCCAGGCAGGGACCCCCCAGCCCTGCTGAGTTTCAGCCGCCCTCTGCCCTCACTGGGCCTCCGTGCCCGTGTCTCTCCCCAGCAGTCGCCAAGGCCATGCCCGCGGGGGCTGCGCTGGAGGGCACCAACGTCGCCGTCGCTGTTCTCCTGCCCGTGGTCGCAGTGGCATTGCTCCTGGGAGGCGTTTGCCTCTACTTCTCCAGGTGAGCATCCGGCTGCCAGATCAGCTGAGCACTGTCTGGGCCCACTGCACCCTGCACCTGGATCTGCCAGGGCTTGGCCCTGCCCCATGGGCACAACCCAGCCCCAGCTCGCCCCGGGCCCGTCAGTCCCACGCTGCCCCCCCGGGGCCATGCCTTTCCACAGGCTCCAGGGGAAGCCGTCCCTGCAGCTGCCGCTCTCGGGGTCGCACCCCTACGACCACATCACCGTGGAGTCGGCCTTTGACAACCCCACCTATGAGACCGGAGTAAGTGCTGAGTCCCGCCCGGGGCTGGAGCCATGGGGGCTGGGAACCCCGGGCTGGGGGGCAGCAGGGGGTACACCGATGCCTGGGGACGTGGGCTGAGGCAGCAGCAGTCTTGCTGCAGCCGCAGGGGCTGGGGCTGGGGCAGGGGAGGGACCCTGTACCCTTGGCACCCCACAGCCGCGGCACGTGTCCAACCCCCTGCAGTCTGTCTTCTTCCCAGGAGATGAGGGAATATGAGGTCTCCATCTAGGCCGAGGCTGCACTGAGCTGGAGCTGGAGCCGGAGCAGCAGCAGGAGGAGGCACCTGCGGCGACACTGGAGCAGCTGTGGCCCGCGCGCTGCCCTGGGAGGGGATGTCGTGCTGCCCCAGGGGACCGCCGTGTGCCAGGAGCAAGCCAGCATTGCCCGGCCGAGCCAGCCCCTTGGGCCCTGCCTCTCCCCCGGCAGGGGCTGGCCCCGAGGCAGCTGCTCCTGGCTGGTGCCGGAGCCGTGGGCTTCGTGGCAGCCAGAACCCACTCGGCCCGTTCCCAGCCAGGCCTGCGTGAGTCTGCTCCCTCCGGCCGCACGGGCGGGCAGTGCATCGTGTCCAGGCCGAGCCCAGGCACGGGGGAGCTGAGCGGGCTGCCTGGGAGCTGGCTCTTCGCAGCGCTGCCCTGGCTGGCCACCGGGCATGGGCAGCGCAGCCCGAGGGCACTCGCACAGCCTGGCCCAGGGCTGGGCAGGGCCAGGCTGGTGCTCTGCAGAGCTGCGCGCCCATGCCCTGGCTGTCAAGGCCATGGGGACCGGGTGTGCATGGCATGCCCAGCCCTGGCCCGGGGAGCAGGGTGAAGGGGCAGAGGCTGAGCACAGTGGTCCCCCAGCTGCAGGCCTGTGCCGGGTCTGAGCCAGGCTCCCTCCAGCTGGCAAAGTCCCGCCCTGGGCAGGGTCTCCCCTCTCATCCCCTGCTCCCAATGTGCTGGTTGCGTAGGGGGCAGGATGGAGGGGGGAGATGGGCAGAGCCCAGGGGCCAGGCCAGGCCTCCTGCATCTGCTCTGTGATGGAGGGCACTGCTTGCTGGGTGCTGGCACTGCCCCGTCCTGCCTGCCGGGTGTTTCCCTCGCTGCCCGTGCCCCCTGCCTGCCACCATCACCACCTCCCTGCCCACGCCCCCCACCATGAGCATGCTGCATTCGCTGACCTGGTGCCCGGCCACACACTTCCCTTGCCCGACACAGCCGCCTCCTCCCCGGGCACCATCCTGACCCCACAGGCAGCCTCCTCCAGACCCCTCAGAGACCCCCATTCCTGTAGACAGCAGTGGGTAGAGCCGGGCCTTTCTGCCCCCTGCTTGTCCCCCCGGGGCCTGAACAAGGTGCAGGGTGGGCAGGCACCAGATGCCAGGCTCCCTGCGGCCAGCCTGGCATCCTGGCCCCTAACCCAGCTCTGCACGTGTGACCTCTGCCCCAAGACCAGCCTGGCACCGCATGCACCCCAGGGCCCGGTGGCTCCCGGCTGCATCTCTCAGCTGCGGGCACAGGAGGGAAGGCACACGGAGCCGGCCTGGGGCGTTGGGGTGCTGGAGAAGACTCGCCAGCCCCTGCCCTGTGACCAGCTCCGGGCCGTTCTCTGTGAGAAACCCAGCCGGACCGGGCAGCTGGGCAAGTCCAAGGACGATCCCTGCAGGACCATTGCTTCCTGCTTCCACTACCAGCACCTGTTCCCGCTCAGCCCCAGGGAGACAGGCTCCGGGGCCCTTCCCCAGCACCGTAGGGCAAGGGGCTCCCCAGGTCTAGCCACTGACCCCGTCCTGGCCTCCCTGCCCTGCCAAGCCCTGGTCCAGGCAGGAAGCTTTTTACATGTCACGTGTACAATATGCCCCTCCGCCGCGCCACCCGTTTTGGAGACAGCCCCATCGTTTCTTTCATTTGGTTCATTAATAAACTGGTGTTTTAGAAGAAGCTGCTCAGTCGTGGTGCAGGCGTCCTGGGGGGCGGCCAGGCCTGCAGTCACATGGGGGGGAGCGGGGGGCAGCGTCCTGGCAAGGGTTAGGGGTGCTGAGGAAGTCCAGGGCTCAGCCAGGCCACCAGGACAGTTCAGGGGGCTGGATGGAGATGGGCGAGGGGCAGGCTGCTGGGAGACAGGCGGACAAGACCGTGGCTTTGGGATCTGCGCCAGCAGTAAGTGTCCCGGCTCCTAAGGCTGCTGGATGTCAGTCTGGTCGCAGCCTGGGACGAAGGAGGGGATGCCCAGAGCCCTGCGCTGGCTGGACAACAAGAGCCTTGCACCTGCATCTCTGCTGCTCGGCAGCACTGGCCGTGAGGGCAGCCCGCAGGCCTGAGCTGGGGCAGATCATGGTGGGAGATGGGAAGGTACCGCACCCCCCGGGATCAGACGCAGGTGCCTGCTGCCCCGAAACTCCATGCCAGGGCACCCTGAGCGCAGGGCTGTGGGAAGGCAGGTGACAGGGAGGCAGGACCCTGAAGCAGCACGTCACCTGCCCCAGCGTGGCCCTGGACCCCAGCCCAACAGCCCTAGGCCACGAGCCACAACACTCAGGCTCCCCTTGGCCCAAGCGCCCCTGCCTTAGGGGACCGTGCAGAGCTGCAGCATCGCTCGTGCCCAGCGTGAGCTGTAGGGGTGTGGCATGGGGGAGCACGGAGCAGGTCTGGGTGGAGGAGGCATCGGGGCGGCTGCTAGAGGGCTCCCGCCGGCCCCTGGAAAATTGATTTGAGCTAACCAGAGCTGACAGCATGATGCAGCCAGAGCCCCCGGCAGCAAAATCCCATCTGCAGGAGACAGCGCTTGCTGCGTGGCTCCATTGCAAGGACCGAGGGCAGGAACAAAGCCAGCGGAGAGGGATCTCATGTGTGCACGCATGCCAGGCCCAGCTCGCCGTGACGCTCATGGGGGGGCTCAGCTCGACTTCATGGTGAAGGCAGCCAATGTCAAGGCTGCAGCCCAGCTGGCTGCAGCGGGACCAGCCGTGTGGCGCAGCAGCGTCGCAACTGGGGGCAGGACTGGCAGGGCTCGGTCCTGTGCTGGCCCCTGCAAGCCCTGGGGGCCTGGCAGCTGCTCCTCGGGGTGCAGAGGCTCCTTGCGGGGGGCGCTGGATGGGGCCAGACATCCAGAGGAGCAGGGCCACATCCGACGGCTGCTCTGGGAGGGGCGAGATGGGTCCCAGCCCGGGTTCTGCAGGAGTCTCTACGCACAGAGCTGTCAAGGGGACCTGCCCCAGGAGAGGCAAGGCCTGGCTGCAGCAGGGGACCTGCAGGGAGAGCCCGGCAGAGATCCCGGCCCTCTTCATGCTGCAGCAGGCGCGGGCCAAGCCGAGCGCACCAGCCCCCGCCGCGGCTCCCCCCCCGCCTGGCATGACTCCTGCCCCACCAGGTTGCCCGGTGACAGGAGCTTCAGGGGAAACACTGGTGCTTGTGACTTTGGGGATTTGGGGCTGATCCAGCAGCAGAGGGCTGGGGAGGGGCTGAGCCGAGAGGGGCCCCGTGCAGGGGGAGGCAAGCAGGAGGGGGTGCCAGCTGCTACAGGCACCAATCCTGCCCCCCCACTTCAAGCCATGCCATGTCCAGTCCCCCTGTGCACCCCCACGTGGCAGCAGCAGCCCACCCAGGTCGCCCCCTGCCTGCCGCGCCGCGCACCAACACCCGGCCTCCGGCCCAGCCCAGCCGCGCGTGCGCAGCACTCATTCCTCCGCGCGCCTGCGCAACAAGACCCTCCCCTTTCTCCCCTCCCCCTCCGCGTCGTGCGCCTGCGCCGCCAGCCCCGCGCGTCCGGTCAGGGCCGGCC